AACATAAATAAGAACTTCTAAACCATTAATTTAACTATTGATATATATATATTAATATAATCTAATTCATATAATTGTTCAAATCCTTTAATAACAAATCTAACTTTGAATTCTATAAATTCATTTGAATCCTTAATCTTATATACCTATCTAGTTTTTAGGGTTTTATTATTATTCGAATTATCAATAATATTCTAGGTTTTATTTAATTCAAGAGTATTGATTTCATAATTTATAACTTTTAATCAGTATTCTTTTTCTAATAAATTAATAGCTTTTTTATAGGATTTTAATTCGATTAATATATAATCTAACTTACTAATAATGATCTTATTATTAATTTTAAGCCTAATATTAAAAACTAATTAAAAATCTCCTTAATCTATTTCGATATTCACCCTCTTATTAATTGAATTGAAATATCCAGAAAAAGCAAGTTCATCATATAATAAAACAGTCTTTCCGTCTTTATCGAAACCTTTATATTCAGATACTATACTCTAAACTCGCTTAGATTGTTGTATTTCAAAGTCTTCTTCTTTAGATTCTTCAATATTAAATTCACCAATAATAAATTCACCAAAAGTAAGCTTATTAGAATCGATTTTTATACAATCTAATATATCATTATTTTCATTGTTTTCAATATTTTCGTTGTTTTTGACTGTTTCAGCCTAAAGCATATTAACACTAATAGAATCGTTTTCTTCTATTCTATTCTGAATAAATTGAAAATCAGGACTTTCTTTTTCCAATAAGTTTAAATCTTAATCCTTATATTTATCTGAATACATAAGATCTTCCTAAATATTTACATTTCTAAAACTAATCATTCTTTTATTAACTAATATATAAACTAAATAATTATTCAACAAATCAAAACCTATTAATACATCTTTTCAGGCTTGAAAATTCATTTTTTTATTACAAATCTCTTTATTATTAATAATATAAATAAAAGAGCTTAAAACTTTAATATAATTTAGATTAGACTTCTTATTATATATTAATTCGAATAATAATTTATTAATAAAACTATTATAGGTTTTATTCTTAATATAAACTATAACTTTAATCAAATATAACTATAAATAGAATAAAATATCTTTTTCCTTAATTAAACAGATTAATCTTTTAACTATATATCTGTTTAATATCTCGGCTATTCTACTTTATAAATAAAAATATAAACTAATATATTCATATAAAATCCTATGATTTCGAATAAAATCAGATTATTTATTCAATAGAAATTTAAGAGCATTATCTAATCGTAATATTTTAAGACTAATATTGAATTGATTTCTAATTAGATTATAGAATTCTATTAGAATATCATATGCCTATAATTTAAATTTGATTAAATATACCCAAATAATTCTAGTAACTTAATTCGTAAAGATTAAAAAGTATTTTTCACTTTTAATCTCTATAATTCTAAAAGAACCAGTGATATCTAAACTGAATTTTTCGAATTTAAAGTTTATTTCAAAACTTATTGAAAACTCTTTGCTTATTTTCTAATAAAATTTGTCGAATTTATAGGATTCATTATTCTCTAAATCAGATTTAGATTCATTTAATTGAATATTTAAGGATTTAATAATATAATCCTTATTTATATAATCTAGTCTCTTATGAGCTAGATTAAGATCGATTTTATTTAAAAGTAAATTCGATCCTTAAATTGATTCTTCTTTGAATTCAAGGGCATTAATACTTTCAAGGTATTTATAATCAATCTTAAAATTCAGATAATATATATCATTAACTTATGGAGCTATTGTTCGTATATTAGCCTCTTTATAAATAATATCGATTTTATCTTCTAAAGAGATAATATAATTAGTCCACCCTTTTTTGAACTATTTTATTCGAACTAATAAAAGTTAAGGCTATATTCGATATATGATATACTCCTTATAAAATCATTTCGGATTTATTAATTAGAATAGAAATATCTTCTATATTATTAATAAGAAGCTTTTCTCTATTAGCTATAATGATAAAGTGATTGTTTAATGATTTATAATTTATAAATCATTCTTTATTTAATGAATAATATTCTATAGCATTTGAATCTAATATAAATTTATACTTAGATTTACGAATTCGATTGACTAAACCCATGAAGTGATTTACCATTATTAGTTGCTTATTAGAAATGGGTTTATTCGAATCTTTATTTGAATCTATATTAAAATTCGAATTAGATTGTTTCTTATTTTGATCCTTATTATTTTTTAATTCAAAGTATTTTATAAAGCATTTAGACTCTAAATGTTTTTTCTTATAATAGTAACTATAATGGGGAGCTTTCTTAAAGCTAGCTTTATTAATATTTAAATTGGTATTAGACTATATTCTAATTTCTTCTAATATTAATTCAGAAAATAATTTGTCTAAATCAATATCGTCTTGATTTTTAGCTAGTTCTTCGTATTTTCTAGAAACGAAACCATTGAAAGAGCTAGGTAAGCCTCTAAAAAGAAATCATGTTATAAAAGCTTTAGAGATATTATATTTTATAGATTTTAAATAATTATATAATAATTAAATCGAATTAATATATTCGTTTATTTTCTTAGAATTGATATAATTAGATTCTATTAATCTATTTAGATATTTTTTTATTAATTTAATAAAAGATTCTTCAAAAATCATATTAATAAATTCCTATTGGCTTTTAATTGTATTTTTGTTCTTAAATCTTTCAACTAATTTAAAGCTAATTATAAATTTAATAGCTTCTAATACTTTTCTTTTATTTCATTAATATTCTAAAACTCTTTTATTAAATTTAATAGCTAATTTAAATGAATAAGTTTTCCCTATATTTTCATCTATATAAAAAACTTTGTTTGATAGTACTTCTATACCATTAATATATGGTATAAAATTATTAATTTCAAGGTATAATTTAGCTCGATTTACCCATTCAATATAATTGAATCTACCTTTTAAAAGGTCAAATTTAAAAACTATATTAAATACCATTTTAAATCTTTATATTAAATTATTTAATCTTAAAAAGATGTTTTGAATTTATATTAATTTTAATGAAATTAGTATTAGAATTTGAATAAATCTAGTAACAAATTCGATTTAAAATCGAATTTCTAGGTTGAGATCGATTAAACTAGTTACCTTTTAAATTAAATCTTTATCTTATTCTGTATTAATAAAGATTAATTAAGCTAGGGTATCTTAATATGAAGAATATTAATATATTATTTGTTATAAATAGTTTATAGTATAAATATATCTTTTAGAAATCTAATTTTATTTACTCAATTAGGTTTAGCTTTAGGGACACAGGTTATAAAGTCTATTTATAAGTAATTTTTAATATAAATTCAATTAAATTGATTCGAAATTTTGATATTCAATAGTTTAATAATTATATATATATAATATATAGTTTTAAATTAAGCTAATTTCTTTTTTAAATTAGTTTTTAAATTAGCCAGACTTATAATTTATTGAAGGTAATTTTTCAGAATATAATAATAATAATAATATTTTAATAATAGTAAAAGATTTAGTTATTTTAATTTAAAGAACAAATTGAATATAATATAAGAATTGAATTAAAGATAAATTATAAGAAAGAGCTTAATTAAGCTGAATTTGCTTGCTTTTTCCTAGGTTTTCTTTAAAGAATATCTTAGGTTTATATAGTTTATAATGAAATTCTAGTAGTTTTTATGCTTATAAATAAGATCGATTTAAATCGAATCTTATAGAATCATTTTATATTATAAAAGAAAAATATAATTAATTAATTTAGTTAATTTATTAACAATCTTCTATATGATTCCATCTTATTCTATTTCATTATAAATCAATTTGATAAGAGATATAGCTATATTATAATATAATAATATAATTTTATAATATAAAATCATATTATACTTATATTATTAATACATATATAGCTTGATTAGTAAGATATTAATAAGTGATTTAGTATACTTATTATAGAATCTCACAATTCATACAATTGGATACACTTAAACACATCACATAGTCAGCGTAGCTTAGCTATAGATAGACTGAATTGATTAAGAATTTACTACTAATACACTACATACCATTCCACTGTCTATTTCCTAGTAATCCTCGCTATATTAGTAATTCAAACCCTTACTTTTTATCTCGCTTGTATTCCTAATGATTTACATTTATTACTAGAGAGTTAATACATATCTATCTATCTATATATACCTGTCTATCTACACAGTCATAAATATCCCTAGTTCCCTATTAAATCCCTGATTTTAAACTTGAGAGTACTTTCATCTCCAACCAATGTTTTTCCTCCCTGTTCCCTATGACCTATCTTTTTGTTCTTTTATTTCTGTTTCTAATCTCCCTATATCTCTATATCTCTATATCTCTATATCTCTATATCTCTATCCCCCCTTTTCCTTATCTTTTCGTATAAATAGAATGTGATATACTTAAACTCTAGGGTTATAGATGGAGGAGTATAGGAGAATGAGGAGAATGGGTGTAACTATAGAAATATAGTAGTGTGGAAGTGTGGAAGTGTGGAAGTGTGGAAGTATGATTGAGTTGAGTTGATATATGTTTTATATATGATGTATGTGCTGTTGATGAGACAGATATCATATTAGGAGAGACAGAAAGGGAGAGAGGTGGAGGGAGAGAGGGAGAGAGGGAGAGAGGGAGAGAGGGAGAGAGGGAGAGAGGGAGAGAGGGAGAGAGGGAGAGAGGGAGAGAGGGAGAGAGGGAGAGAGGGAGAGAGGAGAGGGAGAATATGATCAATGGTTTGCATCCAAAGAGTTTTGAGTTTTGAGTTTTGAGTGATGAATAAATAATGAATAGACGGATCAGATAAGCTGAGCGTTTTATGGATTCAAACCTTAGGGGGGCAAAGGGAGAGGGAGATTGGAAGAGTGAATTAATGTATATACATCGATAACTAGGGGTTTCGAGGAAAGATGTGATTGCAAGGACGGATAATTTGTTCTGTACGACAGGTGAGAAAACGTGAATTGTTAATAGATAGACAACATGAGATTCTCTATCCTATCTTTCACTATCTCAATATAATATCTCAATGCTCTACGCTATAAAACTTCCAGTTCAGCCTTGACATCTATCGTCCTTCCTGGAAAAGACATCTCAGCTCGCTCTATCATAGAGCAACCCTATCTTTCTTCCACACACTCTCATTTCCCATTGCGTCCACAATTCATCTAAACCCATATCTCCAAATCCATATTTACATTTCTCCGCATAGAGAAATGACGACAGGTAATTGCGGAGCATCCTTTGAATTCGTACGAGTGTTTTCCATTTTACGAACAACGTCCATTCCATCGACTACTTTACCAAAGACGACATGTTTATTATCGAGGAAGGGAGTTGGGACTGTGGTTATGAAGACTAGAGGAATATTAATGGGTTGATTTGGGTATGGGTGATGAAGTAAAGGGGAGGAAGATGCAAACGAGATGTTAAAAGATGAGATGACTTACATTGAGAACCATTGGTATTTGGACCAGCATTCTATACGCGTATTAGTTTCATGTCCAGCTTCAAGACTACCAGGAGACTCCGGTCAAAACATACCGCCATAGACAAAAGTCCTGGTTCCGTATGCTTACGAGTAAAGTTCTCATCATCGAATTTACTCAATCCATAAATACAAGTAGAACCCGTACCATCACCATTCAGGAAATCACCACCCTGACACATGAAATCCTTAATCTAGATACCATGTTAGAAGTGAACCAACCGAAGAGGGAGATATTCATACAATTCGATGGAATTTACTGCCTTTGTAACCTTGCGGTCTACCAAGATGATTTTTGGTTTCCCCCGTACAGAATTGACGGAAATTTTCGGCCGTCTTGGGAACTACATCGGCGAAGAGCTCAAATTGGATACGACCGAGTGGCTCACCTAGTCGTTGTTAGAGATTCATGTCCTATCTCCAAAATTTGAGCGGTTCGAAGATAACACGTGATGAACTTTACTGAACAAAGAAACAAAAATCCAGTTTCTCAAGCTACTAGCTGGAAACATCGGAAGACTCCTTCAAAAAAACAAGGGGAGTGAAGCACGTGGACAAAATGAGCAAAAAGACAAAGAGATCAGCGATCACACGATTTGATGTGGAACGACCCGGTACTTCGGAATGCTAACATTTAGACTCTGCCGTTTCCGTGTTCCAAGATATGCATGAAAGTAGTATGGTCTCTGGATGGATGGATGGATCATGCCGTGAAAATGACTAACCTCCAATGGTGATATCAAAGAAGACTCTATTTACATATTTGTCAGTACATTGTGATCTTTTCCAGACGTTGAAGGTTGCATCAGTTAGGTATACGAACAGAGGGTTCCCCGACGCGGGTAACTGAGTTGGTGGCATATTTTAAAGAACGTGTGGGTGTTTGGTGTGTTGAGATATGCCGAAAGAGGAAATCTTTCTGGTTAACTCCGATTGTTCAACTGCAAGCGTGGATGTTCGTTCTCGAATGGTATGCAAAGGTCGAAAGCGTAAGGTTATTCAATACGGTGCGTGTATTGGAGGGCAATCGGGAAGTGTAATCTTTGACAGGGTTTATTGACAATAGATCTAGAAGTGTTGTGGGCAAATTAGAAGCCGGATGATTAGTGAGGAGATAAAGAATTCCTTATCGAATCAAAAATCTCGAGAATGATTTAGATGATGTAAGTAAGGTCAGTTATTAGATGGTCACCTAGGTGTTAGGTTTTCTGTTGTCAGGTGTTAATCTTTACGCAGTATTTAAAAAACACGGGTCATTCCTTAAAGAAAAAAAAGATCTCTCGGCAGACGAGATTGATCGTCGCTGTGTAGAGTTTAGCGTCATGAATCATGATACATCTGCAGAACTAATTCTAAAGGCGACAAGGATTTTGCGAGGGGAAAATCAGAAAAGCTTGATTTCTCATCATAGATCATGATGAGTGGATGAATATATCCACTGCTGGAAAATACGGCACAGATTGGAGTCTCTTGACTGGAGAGAATGGAGAGGAGAAGAGGTAAGGTAGAGGATACTATTTCGTGGCATGGAGGTATCTTTTCACCGTCACCAATCATCAAGAATCATTACCTACCCATGATCTAATACTCAAGAATCAAGACTCTCGGCCAAAAGTTTATTGTTCCTTTCTTTATGTGACATTGCTTGACATTGCTTGACATTGCTTGGCCGCTGGCTGTCGTGAGAGTAGGATTCTGACATGTACCTACTAGGTATGCCAATCGATCAATCGTTGGCTGCATGTATGAAAGTGGCCATACGATACACCAGCCAGAGACATACAAACGAGAAGAGAACCGCGTTCAATCTCAATTTCTTTGAGCTTGGGGAAGGGGAAGAGATTCATTGACAGCCAAAAAGCAGACCACTTCACAATGAAAGAGATTTAGTATCGGAACGATCAACACGAGCGAGTGCATGCATATCTTCAAACTTGTGATGTACTGGTGATGTACTGGTGATGTACGGGTGATAAGTATCATGGGATATCACTTCACTCTGTCATCTTCCAGTTTTCGATAGGTAGGAGGTATTCTTGCATAATGGATCAAGGAGGGATGGTTTAGTATCAAACTCAACGTGCTCCGAAATCCCCGGATTGATACTATCCAATGAGATCGGTTCGGATTGTACTGAGACGGATGTTGTATGCATGTACTGAATGTACTGTAAATTGTAATCCCATCTCTTCGCAAATGTTGAGCGGAAAAGAAGGAGACCCAATTGTCTCGGATTTAAACGTTTTTGGAAAATTGTGATCGCTTCCGGTCTATCTATACATACCTACCTAGTTGATGAAAATCTTTTGGGAAGTGAGAACATACATGCACACACCAGAATCGTAGTTCCAAAACCCATTAATGTGGATGGATGCATCTAGAGTAACCAGGAGAATTCCGACTTGTGTATCTGATCAATGGATATCTAGACTTCATGTGGCTTACCATTCGGAATTTGGCTTGTCCATTGCAAGTTGCAACACCATCGATGCTTTTCATCAAGGCCAATCATTTCTTACGGATGGCCGTTTGCCGTAAAGCGTTACCAAACTTGTGAGGTGTAGGTAGGACCCGACTGGTCTTTTATTTGTATATGGAAGTGAGATGATGAAATGTATTTCAAATACTTGATGGTGTGGGAGAGGAGAGGAGAGGAGACGAGAAGAGAGAGGAGAAAAGAAGAGAGAGGAGAAAAGGGAGGCGTAAATCGAAGTAAGCGTGTGTATCTATTTATTACTTACTGTGGCTGGTTACACTATACCTGGTGTCCACGGGTACCTACTAGAGAAAATACCTCACTCGCCTCACGCTTCTAATCTCCATCTATTAGAGATATTTATATTATGGCCATTATAATAGCTATAATCATTACCACGTTGAGCTTCGTAGAGAGTTGTTGGGTTTATGATTGGAAACTTCAAATCTTCTTTATTGCTATATTCTACCGGTATTTTTATTAGTCATCTCATCTCTATTTGCGTACTTGTAAACCCATCTACCTCAATGGTAATATTGTTTACACTTTACTCGTATCGTAATAAGATCTCTGTCATCTCTTTCAAATACTGTTACGAGAATATACGACATATGATATTTGAGTACTTTGATATTCCTAGTCATTCTTTGGATCCACTACCTACCTCTATTCACGTACTCCGCCAAAAGTAATTCAAAAACCTGTCTGTACGCATTCGGGAAGTACCTTAATAACTACTAGCTAGCTAGGTATGGTAGGTATATGAGGAGCTATGTATGGATGTACCGTATGTACCGTATGTACCTAACATGTAACTATAATAAACATCGTTTGTTATAATTTAATTCCCTCATCTACCTATCAATCAACCGATAATCAAAGAGCCTTCACATATCACTCCAATTGTTAACTTATATTGGTACTGTATCGGCATCGGCAATAGTATCAATATCAATATCTGTTTCCGTTTAAATCTATTCAACCTCTTCAACCTATTCAATCCAGTCCAATCCAGTCAAATCCAGTCCAAATATCTAAACAAAGACTCAAGCACGCGAGTACTCTTTGATCATTGTTATCACATTACCCATTACCATTACATCCTGACTCGATTTTGAGCCCCCGACCATCGATTCGATCAATTTTCAGCTCGATTTACAAATAATTGTCGGTTGCTTTGACTTCCTCTTTAGCCATCTTTTTTATTGAATAAAAATCAGAAGAATTTATTAGATCTCTTCTTATTGAGCCAATTCCAAGTCCAAGTCCAAGTCCAAGTTCAATTCAATTCAATTCAATTCAATTCAATTCAATTCAATTCAATTCAATTCAACTCAACTCAACTCAACTCAACTCAACTCCAACTCCAACTCCAACTCCAACTCAAAGTCAAAGAATTCAAAAGGTATGTTTCCAAGTGATATTCAAAATTCCCCTTCTTTTCAATTGATAAAGATATATCTTTTTACTTGTTTTGTTACAAGATCCCATTTATCATCCATTCAAACTTGCTAACCCCATCTTTTTTCTCCAGCCTTCGCCCTCTACGCCCAGTTTTTCTTACTTTATCCACCAAGACAGCCTCTCGATTTCATCCATCCATACATCTATCTATCCATACATCCATCCATCCACCCCCCTCCCCATCTCCCCCAATCCCCCATTAATGCACATTGTCGCACCAAGGAAAGGACTCGTGTGAATCGCTTCAACTTTACTTTACTTTACTTTACCTTCTTTTCCACCTCTCACCTCAACCTTTAATACTTACTCACTCTTATCAAGGAGATTCCTCTTGATCATTGAAACCTAGGAAAAGATTGGTTGTAATGAATTGAACATTAATCAATACTTTCAAATGATCTCGGTAAAAGGATTTCTTTGATTCATTCACGACCACCAACTGAGGCATTCAATAATCTCATCCTGTATTGTATTGACCCACCCACACGACCTAACTCTGCGAACGTTAGAGGGTCGAATTGCGCTGCACAATTACAACCATACAACACATCACGCAACTAAAAGATGGCGCTAGTTGGTGGAATGGTAGAGGCCATCAAGATCGTCGGGAGGCAGACGACAATCTCACCTTCGTCAACAGCAGCAACTTCGTCCCCGATCTCATCAACCTCAGCATCTGCTACTCCATCTACAGTAACAACTTCCAACAATAGCAGTAGCCCGACTAGTTCGCCACTGTTGTTCTTTGTTGCGCTGGGATTTGGTGTCGTCTTTACAAATTTATGGTAAGTATCTTGAGGGGTTCGAATGTCTGCTTTTTATCACTAACCCTGACGAAGGATTATTGTTGGTGTCAAATATTGTTTTCGATACAATGCTAGGAATCGGGCTGCGCGAGAGATGGGTGAGAACCCAATCAATCTCGATAATATGCCACCCCGACCACACCGAAGGCGCCGGGAAAAGAAGCTTATGACCATGGACGAAGTGAACGAGCGATTTCCTTTGACGAAATACAAAACCTGGGTAGCAAATCGAGCTAGCGAAGGACTACCAACTAGTGGGGGCGTTACAGCGCCGCCAAGCAGAGCTGCAAGCGTGGCTGAAGTGGAGGGTGTAGAGCCATCTTCCCCGGTGGGAACAAAGCATTCTATCAACACCAGGCCAGCCACACCCACTTCGAACAGAGATGAAGCAGCACCATCATCGCCAGCACATACCCTCAGAGGTGGATATGGCGACAGAAAGAGTATGGATGCAGTAATGGCGGAAAAGACACCTGTAACGACCGAGGAGCGTAAGGAAGAACTACATCATTTGGAAGAAGTTCCAACGAGAGCCAGCACAATCGATAATAAGAACAACACAACAGTCGAAGACGTCGAGGATGATGATGAGGATGATCATATTCATACCGCCGTACCCCCAGAGCTCTTGAACAACCCAGGAGATTCATGTGCTATCTGCATTGATTCTCTAGAAGAGGATGATGATGTTCGTGGTTTGACTTGTGGTCATGCTTTCCACGCCTCATGCTTAGATCCATGGTTGACTAGTCGTCGTGCTTGCTGCCCACTTTGCAAGGCGGATTATTTCACACCGAAGCCTCGACCTGAAGGTGAGCCAGAGCCTGAGCGACACTCACGTAGAGCACACGCCTCCAGGGCAAATATGCCCCAACAGCCACAATCAGCTTGGACTGGAATTCGAGGTATGCCAGGAATATTCGGAGCATCCGCTAGATCGAATGCAGATACCCGAAATCGTGATGAACGACAATCTAGGCGGGCACGCCCGGCTCAAGCTGGACCGACGAGTGTAGCGGCCGATGGAGGAGCACCCGACGTCACCACTGCTCCAGCAGCGAGTAGATGGAGGCCAAGAATACCGGCGGCTTTCACCGGAATCCGCATGCCTGGTAGTAATAGAGCCACAGGAAATGCTTTGGAACAATCAGCCAATGCTGAGCCAACCCCTTCTCAACTAGAAGCAGGTCATCGTTCTACTTGAATTGGGCTTCAACTGGGCCATTAACTCGTCGATTGAGTACGTAAGGGGATTATTGTGAACATCCCAGTGATATCATTGGCATTGTCACCGTGAGAATTGACTGACATCGTCTAATCACGATTACATACCTACCAAACTATCCCTAATCTCTTGCAACCATGTCTCAACAAATATTTTGCAAGTCACCTCCCATTTACTGACCTTTCCCACCAACCCACCAATCCGAAAGCGTCCATGCCCCAATCCAGCGAACGATCTCATCACATCCTCTTTTTCAGTCCTCCCAATACTCAATCTCGATCCGTCATATCCCAGGCATTGTACATACATTCAGATACCAAGACACTCGATACATCTCAGTATTCAAGCTAGTCTTCAGAATTTTCTTGTCCGTCACAAGTCTCTCATGATGTTGTGCTCTTTTAGCGAATGTTTATCCTATCTTATTTTTATTTTATTTTTCTTTATCGACAAATTTTCGATTGGCTTCGGCTTTTGATTCCGGGTTCTGGATGGTATACATGGTTGAGGCCATATAAATGGGATGGTGGGATGGCTGGAAAGGACAGGATGGGCGGGAATAGGTTTTCAAAGGAAATTTGAGAGGTCGATTCCGGGGTGTTCAGGGAGGTGACTGATGAATAAACGAATGAATAAGGAGGCAGGCGGGACACATAGACCGATATTCTTTCACTTTTATCCAATCACATGGGATGTATATGGATGGATGGATGGGTGAGTGGGAGGCAGGACTCTGGGGCGTGTTGGGATTGGAGTCGACGGTTGCAAATACAGGACTGGCGGACATAGTAGTGCGGTCGATCCATTACATACAATAGCTGATACCAAAGAGAGAAATAATCACACTTATATATCGTTTTTCTTGAACATATTTAGATTGAATGTCGCTTTGAACTGTCGTACGACGCTCTGAATTACAGGAAACGAATCGTGGTTCAGGTTAGAATTTAACCGAAATGTCTAACAAGTAGACAGAGGTGCTTCCAAATACAGAAAATAAGAAAAAGGAAACCCAAAATGAATAAACTGTGAATATTAAGTTAAGTGCTTGACTACCTAAGTACCCTGCTATGCATTCCATAAAAATGAAACTGACACGCGCGCCCGATATCTTTTAACATACATCCCCTTTTGCATGCATTCTCATGGTATTTTCTTCCTCCCCCACACTTCATTTTCATCTCATGGATCATATCATATCATATCAAATCACCATTTCCAGAGACAAGCCTCGGGAACGATTAATTATTAGACCTATAACTCCTCTTCAAGTTACCTTCCATTCCATCACATCAGCAAATCTTCAATTCAATCATCTTCCTACACGAATGACACCGGCAGCGATGAGTTGTTGGATCTTAGATCTGATTTGTGGATTCTTCATGTGTTCTTGAAGAGCGGCAGGGTCGTTTTGAGCTTGTTGGAGAATGCTTTGCATGACTGGATCACCCATAATTCTTTGGATCTGTATTGGTTGTTAGTAACACAGTCTCAAAAGGATCTACTTTTTAACTTACCTCAGGGTCTCTTGAAAGTCTCTC